CCGGCACTGAATCTGAACCTAAAGTCTTGCAATGCTTACTTATAGTTTTGATTCACTATGTAATTAAGCCTTTCGTAATGGAGCATGGTAACCTCAGTCATTTTAGCACACACAAACATTGCAAACACTTGGTTTATTCCTGCTCTTTTGCTCAATCCTCACGTTTTCATTTAATTTGTCCAGAGGTGTCCCAAGGCAGCAATGGCTCTATTGAATGATCTCCAAGCTGTGACCTTTAAGTCAGACCGGCCGCACTAATTAATCCTAGCAGAGCGATACATTCAGAGGCTGAAACAGCATGTAACACCGGCATCAGCCTGCTTAGAAGCCTGGCAGATGAATACATTTCACACCACGAGGAAGCACTAAAGCCCCGTGTACATATTCCAACAGCAAACATACGAATGCAATACTCCCTGAGCTAAGCGCTTTAAGGAGGGTTTGAACTGATAATAAAGATTTGAATAAATGTTGAGGAGAACCTATGTCCTATCTTGGGAATATAATATCTCTGGGAACAGTTGGCAGAGAAATTCATGAGACAAATATTTGCACCAAAAGATAAAAGTAAAGAGCCAGGGATTTGAGTCCCACACCTCGCTGAGCACTGCTGGTTTGGTATTCATTTCCCAGCTGGATGAAAACAGAATTTAGTGGACACATAGATTATTCATCTGTGACTGCAGCACAACCACTTACAGCCCTATATCTCAACAGCAGACCAGAATGTAAAGCTGACGAGAACAAGCGCACGATTGATGATGAATGTGAGATATTTATAAAGCTAATGTGCTGTCCTTAAATATGATGGCACATCTACTTCAACCGAGAACATGCATTTTTCTTCAGACTGCCATTGATAAACACAGAATGGCTTACAAGACAAGCAGCACTGTCTTCCCTTTCAGACAAGACAGCACGATTTTCTGTTTTTTCCTTTTTTATTTATAGAGGATTGGCAGGAAAAATGGCATTCACCCGATTCCATTTTTGATGTGATCTGGGATTCTTAAGTGAGTGTGAGTGATGGACTTAAAACATGGATGAATAACTGATGACTAGAAAACAGCTGAAAATGAAAAGCCCCGAGCTTGTCTTGCCCCCCTCTCTCCCGCTTTCGCTTGTTGTCCTGCTTCAAATGCAGCAAAGCATTTTCACTGAGTTACCATAGAGATGATTATTGCAGTTGCTGTTGTGAAAAATTTGGCTCAAAACCTCAGGGACAGTAAGAACATGGCAGATATGCAGAGCAAAGGAAAAAAGATAAATAAACAGGCGTGCTTCAGAGAGAGAGGCTATGTAGAGTCGTTTAGGGTCAAGAACTTTCAAGAACGGTGCGTATACCCTTTTCAAAAACTTTAAATTGCATTAATATCTTTTTTTTCTTTGCTTTGAGTAAAGAAATTTTATTTTATGTATATTTATAAGAAGCCATGTTAAAAGAAAGCATGAAAGCAAACAGGTGAGGGTCATGTCAGGCCTCAAAGGGCTTGTCACTATTTTCATCCAAGTGCCCTTGAATAAGACAGCTAAGTTAAGCTGCTCCAGTGGAGCTGCTCAGTGGTCAACAGTTGAAGACTAGCCTGAGTTGCTCCCAGGCGTGAATGTGTGCGACTGTACCATGAATGTTAAGCAGGGCATAGCTGGGCAAGAGCAAGCATGTTTAGCTGACCTTCCCAGTATAATGTAACTAAAAAAAAAGAGAGAGATGCTTCAGTGGTGTTCTAAGGTTATGTGATTTTCAGCACAGCTGTGAGTCAGTCTATATTCGGCTGCGCTGGAATGATCCAAAATGTCATTCCAGCACCTTTGGTTAATGAGCAATTAAATCTGATATGGAGGTTAATGCATATTGCTATTAAATGAGATCTTGTCTTGTGTGCTGCAGCATGGCATTTCTTCTAATGATAGCATGGACATACATGTTTAAGAATACAAAAATAGTAACATCCCACAGCTTGTTTCTTCTCATCCCTATGATGTGTTCATGCTGCAGATATAAATTCAGTTACTGTCGAGTTGCTCATTTAGCTGCTGCTGCAAAAGAGAGGTGAGCACAATAAACAGAGTAACATTTTTTTTGAAATGGCAGCTCCTTTCAAATGCAGCATTTCAAACACCTCAACAAATATCAGCAGACACACAAACTGTGTGTAGCAGACTGGTAACTAAACATACAGATGCTTTATTTCCAGGGACAGAAAAAAACATTAATGTGGGACACAAAGATGGAGAAAGAGGTGGTGAGCGCTGTTCAGCATGTGCAATTTTAAAAACTCTAAATTTAAATTGTTTTTGGATGGATGGATGGATGGATGGATGGATGGAATGTCGCAATTCGATTTGATTTTTGATTGTTTGCGTGTTTATTTTATAAAACCACAAATGTGATCTAGACATGATGTGTTGCTGAAATACATTTTTGTGAAATGGCTTGCAAAAAGAAATTGATGTACACTACTTTTGTATTATTCAAACTTTCCATTGAAATATTGTATTATGCAATTTGGTAGAGTTTCTTGCATGGTACACTAGTGAGTTTGCAGGGCTGTGATGAAGTCTATGTACTATGTTGGCTCTCAAATTTGAGAGCACAGGTATCTGGCACAATACAATGTTTCAAATTGACAAGAAACCCATTAATACACATCACCACCCAAATTATGTACATAATGGCTTTTAGTAACACTGACATTTGTACACTCTGTCCTGGTGAAACAGAAGATTATTTCCATTCATTCTGGCTTGATGCTCCAGTAGAAAAATTGCAGTTGGGGGTCATGGAGAGCTGTCCAGAGTCCTCAGCATCCCACAATCCCTTCTGTTTTACTTTTAAGAAATGTATCCTCAGTGACCAGTAACCACCACCAGTTGAGACGCAATGTCACATAATTACCAGTTAACAATATAAAGCTCAGCCTATGACCCCATGCACTGACCCAGACCTGTGTCATTAAGAGGACACACAAGATTTTGTTCTTTCACTGTTTAACTACTAACACAAATCCAACTGAAACTACTCAAACAGCACTTCACAGTGATCTGCAGAACCACGTAAGGGCATAGATCGGCTATTATAACTGCTCATCACTGCTTTTTCACCTGTATAACACTACTATGCTAATTGTGTCACACGAATGGAATAGCAAAGTTTTGTAGGTGCAGCTCTTTATGCACACGTAGTTGGTAAGGCCTTGCACTTTTTTCTAATCCTTTTTTGACTTCCTTAATCTCTCTGTAAATTGCTTAGCTGTGTTTGTCCAAGGTTTGATTGAGAGGAAATCAGAGTGGAAATTTTCCCTTTGAGCATCAGCATTGTGCTGTGTTTACTTCATCACATGAAGCCCTAATCAAGTCTGGTTTTCACTGCCGTTACAGTCACCTGTGTTTTGTTGTATTTTTAGAGCTAAGTGTTGCTGAGGTCTACAGGGTTTCTTTAAATATGCCAGGTTGCAGAGCCTGAAGCCAATCAGTCCTCACTTCTTCCTATGTTGGTGAGTAGCTATGTGGGCCCTGGCCTGAAAAGGGTGTTCCAGCATCTTCCATATTTCCTAGCTCCCGCATCAAAATAAATAAATTCAAAGAGGTTTTCATGCATAGTGTGAATCAATTTACATACCTGGTTGCAAGTCGGTAAAGACAGCGAGAAACCTGCTGTCTGGTGTTAGAGTCACAATCCACAACAGCCACATTCTCTAATTCTGATGCAATCCATAAATTCATTCAACCGCGTCTCGAAATGCAGTCCAGCCAGCAGTAATGCTGCATGTAAGCCTGACTGGGATAAGATATTTTGCTGTGCAAGTAACCAAACTCATCTGTCTTTGTGTACAAATGGATCAAACAAACATTTGTTATTGGTAGGCAGGTTTTTGAGCTTTTCATGGAGCTCTGTCACTGTTTGTCCTTGGTGTCCTTCAGCTAATGACTCTGAGGCAAACTGTCTGTCGCCTGCATGCAATGCTATTGGCTATTTGTCAAGTGTTGGTGCCATCATTTGCCTGAAGTTAGTAGGTGTTTCTTTAAGGGAAGAGAGGTGCATTAAAGTGGAGTATCATCAAGCACAAACATAAAAGACCCACTTTTGAAGAAAAAACGAGGATGCCTTAGTACCATGTTCTGAAGGATATTTTATAAACTAACAAAGCTGATTTATTGTCAAGTAGTACTCTATAAGGGGGTGGTAGAGGGAAAATCAAACAAAGGATCTTTTACGTTCTGTGTAAAGAAATGGTACCTGGTCAAGGACAGGACTTTCAGGATTTCAAGCATCTATGTGATATGATTACAAAACATGAAAGCAAGTGGAGTCATCTAGAGTAAATGCACAGCAAACATACTACCCAAATTGAAGAGCACACACAGAACTGAGCAGTATGACATTACCTTCAGAAACTGTAAAATGGTGCATAAAATAAAACTGTAAAGTGCATTTTCTAAAGCTGTAAACATTCCTGAAACATTTCAGGTTAAAACAGATTGAAGACCAGGTGAAGATGCAGGATGCACCTTAAGACGAGTTGTTATTGTCTTGTCGTCCAAAGTATTCCCACACTCCCAAACGATATTACAGTTAATCAAATGACCACAAACCAGTTTCCACACAGTGAATTTAGGGCTTTCGGGGAGGGTTGGACCACCTTGGAGTAGGTAATTTTGCTTTGTTTAGGAAAATGAAGGAACGCTTCAAAAGGGTAACAATTCTGCTTTCTTTTATATATATA